TTGATTTCCCAGAATTAAAAAATTTAATTATCAGTAACCGAATTTTCTCACTAATAACCTTTCCTCTACCCATTTTGAAAACCTTAACTACCCAAAACTATTTTAAACGTATTCTGACAGCTGTGATTGATAAAAACAATTGTCATGGCTTTTATTTTTCACAGCCACCTATGCGTTATAGACTTATTTTGCATTGAAATGAAAATAGGTTGATATGCTGTAATTGCAACATGTGTTATTTTTATGCTGCAAATTTGATTAGGGAGCGATAAAGTTGGTGTTTTCTACTATATATTATCAAAATATTCATTGTTAATATTTTAAACCTATAACCCCCTCCTACATTTTTATTATTTGTTAAGAAAAAACTAAGATTTCAATAGTTGGGCCAACTAAAGTGGGAAGGGACTCGTAGTACATATAAAGTTTCAAATAATCTAGAACAGTATTAAAGTTACGATAAGAAAACGATAGCTGTAGCTCAAAAGTCGAGATGTTTAGGACATATGTTCATATTCACTTCACTTTTCTTCCTAAAAGGAGCTAAGAAATCATATCGTGAATTTTTTGCCTTCAATTAAATTACACCACGTACATACATATCCTTAAAATGTTTGTATCAACCGTCCAAACAGCCTATATAAAATTAAACTGACTGTTACGTTGACTAGGATCTGTCTGCAAATCGATAGTATTTTTTTTGTAAACATCAACGTCATAGATGTGCAAAGTACAAAGTGATGCTGTTACATTGTTGATGAATACAAATGAGAGACATCTATAGATCAAGTCATTCATTTAGTGAACATTGAATATTTAATTGTACGCCTCTGGGAGTGGATCAAACTGAATGAGCGCATGCATATTGTTTGTGCAGTGTTGACAGCATCTTATGACTTGTTGATCTAAGTTAAAGGACCACCATTATAAAATAGGCGACGTCGCCACTACAGTGTAAATTACTGAGTCTTCCTCATATAAAAACAACAAATTATATTGCTGAAAAATAAAGTAAAATAATTTTCTCAGCTCATATGCTAATAAAGCTGCTGTTTGAATAATTTGTTGTGATCTGCATGAAACTTTCATAGATGGTAACATCTGACAATACAGGGTGTCCACAAAGTTGAGGTTTTCCTTTACACGACGTGTAGATCTTGAAAACATAAGCAATTTTTCTTAGTACCATATACACCAATGTCTTGAGTGAACCGAGATAAAGGGCTCTGCAACATCAAAAATATCTGAAGACCGTCCTGTAGCAGCGACATCCCCACTACTAGGACACTAGCTCAACCCGACGACAGAACTGGGTCGGGGTCAGTGTGTCAGGTCAGTATGCAACCTTCAACCGACGGTTACGGTCACGCGTGTAGAGGTAATCGCGTAGACGAGAGTGAGTGGTTGTTGCATCAACTTGACAATAATCCGGACTTTTTGAAGTGCATATTGGTGACAGACGAATCTACCTTCACGCGTAATGGGGTGAATAACTTTCGCAACACTCATGTTTGGTCAGTAAAAAATCCGCACTCCGTCTGTCGGGCACATTTTCAACAAACATTTTCGGTGAATGTTTGGGCTGGCATGGTGAACGGTATGCTCATTGGACCATTTACTCTCTCAAATCGATTGGACGGGATACAATACCTAGACTTTTTACGCAACATTTTGCCTTCCTTGTTTGCTTGCGTCTGCTCGGTAGCGCATCAGCTGATTTCATTTTCTGTTGGAGCGGTATGATTTCGGGCAGAGACGTACTTAGCCCTTCTCGTCAACTGGAGAGCGAGTACTTTTTCCTTTATTTTTTTTTTACTTGGTCGCCCTCGTTTCACTGTACATTACCTTTGTTATTTCAAGGGTAGTTGATTCTGAAAAGGAAAACCCCAACTTTGCGGACACCCTGTATAGTATAGTATCTTTATTTTAATAGCTTCAAGCTAAACAATACAATACAATATATATATATATAGGTGAAAAATTAAAGCTTCCGCCTTTTGTTGGGTACTTCGACAAAATTTAAGCAAAAAGGACTCTTTATACTTTTTTTAATTCTCTCTAGCTTTCAATGGACTTTGCCATCATCATCAGGAGCTGCAATTACAATGATAACAGTAGCAACAAAAGTGTAAAATGAATTTAAATTGAATCAACTTACAGTAGTATGTGAGGATGTTGCTAATTGTTGTTTTCGTATAGGATGAGGGAAACGTCCAGTAACATGGTGAGAGCTGGATACATGGTACAATGGTTAAAATTATATAAAATATGACAAGACAAGTTAAAGACAGATTAAAAATTATTTAGAAAACATTAGAGCATTACGTCGTGAAGCCACTTGATGATTGCACAAAATGGTGGTCATGGAATAATGAGTGAGATGAACCTTTGACAGAAGGCCGAAGGTTGTCAATGTCTGTGTTGAAAGGTGGAACGAATTGTGGGCGTGTGCCAAAACGTTGCCAAATCACTTCAGATGATGTGATTTTCAGAATGTTATGTAAGAAATTGTTAAACCGTCCAGAGGCAGTTGAATAAACCATATTTTAATTAATGGGAATTTTAAATTATCAATTATTAATAAATCGTGAGAAGAGAATTATTAGATTTTGAGTGGAATGAAATTTGTTGGTGGAATCGGTCAGAACACAGATTATATTTATGGTTGTGAAAAGTCGAAATTTGGGGAGATATGTAAGTTCTCCAATTTTTCGCAGTTTAGCAAATATGAGTAAATGACACTCAGTTGTTTAATATCTGTCTTTTTGTTGATACAGTTGTTATTCATGAAAATGTGGGACATTTCCAGGAATAAACGTTTGGAAAGGTGTTTTTCTTTATCAAGAACTTCGATACTTGTGTAATTCATAGAATGCCCTGTTGTGTTAACATGAGATGCTAGAGCGCATCTTTCAGGATGAAGCCTAGCATCACTTTTGTGTGATGTAATCCTTCCTTTAAGAGATCTGGAGGTCTGACCTATGTATATTTGGTTGCAGTTGTTGCAATTGATGGAGTAGACTGTGTTAGTTAAGCCAAGCAGCGGGACTTTGTCTTTCATTTTTGAAAAAATGCGGTTTATAGTGAGGACGGATCTGCAAGCAATTCGAAAGTTCAAAGGACTGCACAATCTGATCAGCTTAGGGGTCAGTTCTTTGATATAGGGCAGGACAGCAAAACCAGGTCTGGAGTCTGGGTTGGTGCTTGTACTGTTTGGATTGATGCTATTATTGGGAATTACATCAGTTCCGTTATTATTAGGGGTTGTGTGACTATTACCTGCATCACCAGAGTTCGGTAAAATATTGGAAGGTGAACTAAATAAGATCTTGTTAATCATACCATAAGCTAGGGATTAAAATCAGTTTGGTAAAACAGATGAAAACAAGGGTAATCAGCATCTCAGATAATACTTTCCACACCTCAAATTTACATAAACTATCAAAACTGTTCATCAATAATGGTTATCCGAAGTGTCTGATTAACAAGATCTTATTTAGTTCACCTTCCAAATTTTGCCGAACTCTGGTCATGCAGGTAATAGTCACACAACCCCTAATAATAACGGAACTGATGTAATTCCCAATAATAGCATCAATCCAAACAGTACAAGCACCAACCCAGACTCCAGACCTGGTTTTGCTGTCCTGCCCTATATCAAAGAACTGACCCCTAAGCTGATCAGATTGTGCAGTCCTTTGAACTTTCGAATTGCTTGCAGATCCGTCCTCACTATAAACCGCATTTTTTCAAAAATGAAAGACAAAGTCCCGCTGCTTGGCTTAACTAACACAGTCTACTCCATCAATTGCAACAACTGCAACCAAATATACATAGGTCAGACCTCCAGATCTCTTAAAGGAAGGATTACATCAAACAAAAGTGATGCTAAGCTTCATCCTGAAAGATGCGCTCTAGCATCTCATGTTAACACAACAGGGCATTCTATGAATTACACAAGTATCAAAGTTCTTGATAAAGAAAAACACCTTTCCAAACGTTTATTCCTGGAAATGTCCCACATTTTCATGAATAACAACTGTATCAACAAAAAGACAGATATTAAACAACTGAGTGTCATTTACTCATATTTGCTAAACTGCGAAAAATTGGAGAACTTACATATCTCCCCAAATTTCGACTTTTCACAACCATAAATATAATCTGTGTTCTGACCGATTCCACCAACAAATTTCATTCCACTCAAAATCTAATAATTCTCTTCTCACGATTTATTAATAATTGATAATTTAAAATTCCCATTAATTAAAATATGGTTTATTCAACTGCCTCTGGACGGTTTAACAATTTCTTACATAACATTCTGAAAATCACATCATCTGAAGTGATTTGGCAACGTTTTGGCACACGCCCACAATTCGTTCCATCTTTCAACACAGACATTGACAACCTTCGGCCTTCTGTCAAAGGTTCATCTCACTCATTATTCCATGACCACCATTTTGTGCAATCATCAAGTGGCTTCACGACGTAATGCTCTAATGTTTTCTAAATAATTTTTAATCTGTCTTTAACTTGTCTTGTCATATTTTATATAATTTTAACCATTGTACCATGTATCCAGCTCTCATCATGTTACTGGACGTTTCCCTCATCCTATACGAAAACAACAATTAGCAACATCCTCACATACTACTGTAAGTTGATTCAATTTAAATACATTTTACACTTTTGTTGCTACTGTTATCATTGTAATTGCAGCTCCTGATGATGATGGCAAAGTCCATTGAAAGCTAGAGAGAATTAAAAAAAGTATAAAGAGTCCTCTTTGCTTAAATTTTGTCGAAGTACCCAACAAAAGGCGGAAGCTTTAATTTTTCACCTAACTGGTCTAGACGACAATGACCACGTCTCAAGTTATATATATAATGTTATTATCTAAAACTAACACTATTTTCTATATAAATTCTCAATTGCCTTTTGAATTTGACAAAATTTGTAGATTTGACTTCAACTGGTAAATTATTAAAATCTATAAGGCCTTTATGAAATAAACTATTTTGCGCAAAAGCAGACCCCACAGCAGGAACATAAAAATCAAACCTATTCCTTGTATTGTAACTACGAATATCACAGACAAATTGCAAACCTTCCAATATGTGTTCGGGATACATTCCATTCTTTATTTTGAAGATGACTATCATTGTATTCTAAAATATATTTTGTTTGATACTTAATAAATTAGTTACTTCTAACATGTCCTTAATTCTTGTGTATCTAGTACATCTTAATATACATCTAAGTGCCTGATTTTGTTTTCTCTGTAGTGAATCTATATCACCTTTCTGAAACATATACAGGGTGTCCGCAAAGTTGGGGTTTTCCTTTTCAGAAACAACTACCCTTGAAATAACAAAGGTAATGTGTAGTGAAACGAGAGCGACCAAGTAAAAAAAAATAAAGGAAAAAGTACTCACTCTCCAGTTGAAGGGCTAAGTACGTCTCTGCCCGAAATCATACCGCTCCAACAGAAAACGAAATCAGCTGATGCGCTACCGAGCAGACGCAGGCAAACAAGGAAGGCAAAATGTTGCGTAAAAAGTCTAGGTATTGCATCCCGTCCAATCGATTTGGGAGAATAAATGGTCCAATGAGCATACCACCGTTCACCATGCCAGCCCAAACATTCACCGAAAATGTTTGTTGAAAATGTGCCCGACGGACAGCGTGCGGATTTTCTACTGACCAAACATGAGTGTTGCGAAAGTTATTCACCCCATTACGCGTGAACGTAGATTCGTCTGTCACCAATATGCACTTCAAAAAGTCCGGATTATTGTCATGTTGATGCAACAACCACTCACAAAACCGCACTCTTGCTGGAAAATCGTCAGGTTGAAGGGCTTGTACACGTTGGATGTGAAACGGATACAGCCCCTCTTCACGCAGCGTTTGCCACACTTTAGTTTTTGATACTTGCACTTCTCTAGCCACGTCTCTAGTGCTTGCTGAGGGATTCTCGTCTACGCGATTACCTCTACACGCGTGACCGTAACCGTCGGTTGAAGGTTGCATACTGACCTGACACACTGACCCCGACCCAGTTCTGTCGTCGAGTTGAGCTGGTGTCCTAGTACCACTCGGGGATGTCGCGGCTACAGGACGGTATTCAGATATTTTTGATGTTGCAGAGCCCTTTATCTCGGTTCCCTTAACACATTGGTGTATATGGTACTAAGAAAAATTGCTTATATTTTCAAGATCTACACGTCGTGTAAAGGAAAACCCCAACTTTGCGGACACCCTGTATAATATGGAAGAACAGTACTTAAAGTGAGGCATGACTATTGTTTTATATTTAAGTAGTGACGTGCATGTACTAAGGTCATTTGTTACCCTACACATTAAACTAACTTTTTTAGCAATTTTCTTTATAATATAATCTCCATGGCTATTGAATGCTAAATTTGAGTCTATCATAACTCCTAAATATTTATACTTGTTAATCTGTTTAATCTTATTATTTTCAATTATAAATCCGTCGTGCAGATAAGTATCCTGAACTTTAAATTTAGATTTCAGTATCATACACTTAGTCTTGTCAACTTTAATACTAAAACTATTGTACCCTAACCAGGCATATAATGTCTTTAAGTCTTCATTAATCATTTTAACCAAATTGTCTATGTTGTCACATTCCATGAACAAAATTGTATCGTCTGCAAACAACTGAATTTTGCAATTTCTTACAGCCTTTACAATATCATTTATATACAGCACGAATAGATCACGACCCAACACTGTTCCCTGAGGCACACCATGTCTATTTTCTCTTACAGAAGATAAGGAGTTTTTGTACTTTGTTCCAAGTATCATGAGAACCATCTTTAAACGTTATAGCGCAGTAACGAAACACAAAATGTTCCCAAATCCTTGCAATAATTCTATAATGGATGAAAATTTGAACTTAGGTAACTGAAATAGTCTTCTTTAGCAACAAAAAATTCCGGATCCTGCGGTAGGGATAATTTCTGAAAACTTTTTTATTTTTGATATTTGTGTTAATAGTCGTGTTAATATTATAACGTATGTCCTAAAAGTTTTAGCACAAAATTGATTGGCTTTAATTTTAACAAATACAAAATGATATCAAGTTGCCTTTGGAAACAAAAGTTTGTTTACTTATTTTACTTTAGTAGTAATATTAGTAATATTTTATTTGTCTCCAAAATACACAACCCATTACACATATAATTTTATTATTTACTGTCAGTTGACATTTACTTATTTTGAAGTTCTCCCTTTAGGATGTATACTAAGTGACATATAAATCCGAACACCCAGTTTAAATGGTTTTATTTTAATAAAATTTTGTATAAGTACTTAATGAAGCATAATAAGTAAATGATAAAAATTTCAAAATGATTGCACTGCTTTAATGCCCTTTGACCTTTAATAATGTGTGGATGCACCCTGATGTGCTACGCATTCTCCAACGCGCCTAGGCATGCTTCTGATCAGGTGGTCAATGTCCTCCTGTGGTATCTCATTCCAGGCAACCACCAACTCCTCTCGAAGTGCTTCTAGAGTCTGAGGAGGACGTTGCAAATTGAGCAATCTCCTATCCATCATATCCCACACGTGCTCAATTGGGGATAAGTCGGGAGATCTTGGTGGCCATGGGAAGAATGTTGAAAGAAGTCTATTGTGACTCTTGCAACATGTGGTCGGGCATTATCTTGTTGGAAAGTTGGATCTGCCAGGGTGTCAAGATAGGGTAAAAGATGGGCTCATAAGCCATAGCACCCCAAACCATAACTCCAACAATGTGATGAACATGTCTTTCAACAAAAAACTGTGGATTCCTCCTTTCACCACGTCGCCTTCTAACCCTGGCACGACCATCGTGCATGCCTAAACAAAATCGAGACTCGTCACTAAAGACAATACTGTTCCATTCCTGATCCCAGAGTGACCGTTGTCTGCACCACTCAAGGTGATTACGTCGGTGTTCTCGAGTTAAAGGGAAGACCAAGTGTGGCCGGTATGAAAACAAGCCAAAACGTCTCATTTGTCGGTAAACACTTCGCATGCCAATAGGTCTTCCGTGTTCTGCAAACCATTCATTTGCAATGGACCTGGTAGTGGAGAAACGGTCCCTTAAGGCCAATAACCTTAGGCGGCGATCTTCACGGTCTGTTGTTCTACGGCGGCGTCCAGTGCTCCTTGCTCTTTGCGTACGGCCTTGTCGAAGCCATGCCTGACAACACCTAACCACAGTGTCTACACTTCTTTGCTCTCTAACTGCAATTGCCCGAAAAGAAAGTCCAGCTTCACTAAGTTGACGAGATCGTACAGGTCTTCGTACTCTAGGCATCGTAACCGATCGTAAAGGATGTCAAGAACCAAAATCCGCCAACGTTGATTCTTTACTGCGGCTGAAATATTCATTTTTAGAGCGTTAGTGAATTAAAAAAAAAGCAGTATAAAAACCGGAATGTCCAACTGATAAGGCACTTGTTATTTACGGTAAGATAAATACATTCACCAACTTTTATTAAAATAAAACCATTTAAACTGGGTTTTCGGATTTATATGTCACTTAGTATATAAATTAGAAATAAGAGTTGGTTTTGCGGGTACCCAGAGCTAAAATCTGCCAATTATTCCAAAATGAAAACATGTCACGCAGAACCATTTATCGAACAATATTGGAGTGCGAGCAGGAAATACCATGTCTGAATCTCTCAAAAGAGACCACCACGTACATTTACTGCACAGAGGTCAGAAAGATTGGTGAGAAGAGCAAAAAATCAGGTTGGAATGTCAACAAGGAGACTGGCTCGTCAATACAGATCAAAGAGTACGATATCGTTGGAATTGAGGAGTGGTCTTGAATATTGAAAGAGACTTAAGTGTACACTTTCTCAATGGAAAAATCATTATTTTAGATGAGGAAAAGTACTTCACTTTGAATAATTCTGAAATTAAGGGAAACGACGGATTTTATACAGACAACGTAGAAGAATGCCCCGACAATGTTAGATACAAACATAAAGCACTATTTGCAGATAAAATCCTTGTCTGGTGCGCAATTTCTAACAGGGGTGTATCCCAACCTTTTGTACGAAGACTGAGGGGTGAAGCTTTGAATAGTCAGAGCTATATTGATAACTGGTTGTCCAAATTGCTCCAGTTTGTACACGAACATCATGCTAATGACCATAACATGTTCTGGCCAGTCCTAGCATCATGTCATTACTCAAGAGATACCCAAAACTGGCTTCGAAAACACAACATACCTTTTGTTCCCAAAAACGATAATCCTACAAACTGCCGCAGTCTCCACCAATATTTTTGGGCTTTACTGTCTAGAGAGGCTTATCATGGAGTCTGGGAAGCCCAAGTTGCTCTGAGTTCGGTCCAGGACCCCATGAGAGACATTTGAAGAAAGTTGCGTCTGATAGAGCAGTATAGGCCACTCCACATAATTCGATAGTATGGTTTAGTTAAGTATTGAGTTCTAATTTACGATAACTAGCTAGTGCTTAAATAAATTTTTTCGTTAAAAGAACATCCGATAAATATTTTGTGCCAAAACATTTGGGATGGTGACATACTATATCAAAACGAGGATTGAATTTTCAACAGATAGTGCCTAGTCAACCTACTTAACGCCGCATTTTTATTTATATACACAGCCTACAGTAAATTATTTAGGTTTGCGCATTATCGATAACATATACAGAGCAATTATTAGGTTGTTTTGCATTACAGAAAAAAATGCATACGTTAATAGATACACTTAATCAAACAGGAATAGGCCCTATTTCACACAACAAACAGTAAGTATAGTTAAATCATATTTATTAACCATGCAACATTAACGTACTTAATTTTGTATGCTAAATTCTACATAATATTTTGGTAACTCTACATTCTACGTTTGTAAAGAACAAACATGTTAAAAACGCGAATTTAACGTCATATGGGATTTAAACGAATTAACATAATAGCTATTTGTCAAACCAATTATCAAGTAGCTGGTTTTATTTGACGAGTATGGAGTAGCAATAAAAACTTATATCTATCTTTTTATAACGCTTCATTTATTTTATCGAGTTTTTATACAGGGTGGCGCATCGAAAATAAAGCAGACGCATTTACTGACAGCTCAGTTTTTTTTAAAAACGCTTAGACCCGTCAATTTTGTTTTCGAGGGGGTGACACCAACCCGAAAATCTTAAATGGAAAGGGGGGTCGAGTGATTTAGTGAATATTTAAGGATTAATTTGAAGGCACCCATTCACAATTCTTTGTCGCAGGTCTTCTAATGATGTTGGCTGAGTAGCATAGATTTTGCTTTTTAAATGACCCCACATAAAGAAATCCAAAGGTGATAAATCTGGCGATCTTGGGGGCTATTCAATGGCACCTCTTCTCCAATCCATCGATCTGGAAACGTCTGATATAAATATTGTCGAACACGTAATGCGTAATGTAGGTGGGCACCATCCTGTTGGAACATCAACCTATTCGGAATGTACCGCCGATCATTCTGATTTTCAATTATGGCTGTTAATGCAGGATCTATGGCGTCTTCCAGTAATTTCAAATACATTTCACCGGTCAAATTTTCAGGTAAGAAAAAAGGACCAACTAAATGATCGCCAAAAATATCAGCCCAGACATTTAATTTTTGTGGCTGCTGTGTATGAACCTCACGATAAATTCTGGGATTAGAATCGGACCAATATCGGCAGTTATGACGATTGATTTACTACGCCATTTACGAAAAAGGAACACTCGTCGGAAAATCAAGTGTTGAATAGAAAATGTTCATCGTTTATAATTCGTTCACTCATATCTTCACAAAATTGTAATCGCCGATCAAAATCGTCTTCATTAAGTTCTTGTATCAGGTGAATTTTATACGGGTGAAAACTATGGGCCTTTAGAATCCGTTGGACATTACGTCGACTAACACCACACACAGTCTCCAATTTGCGGGTACTTAACGTAGGACCTACATACACTTGCCCTAAAACCCCCACTTCTATTGCTTCGTTCCTTATGGGATTTTCAATGTTGCGTTTTTTATTGGCGACTGACCCAGTTTCCCGAAATTTAGCTACAAGTTCCAGAACATATTTTCGATGCTGGTTACTGTTCTCTTGTCGCTCATTAAATATGTCTGCTGTTCTATTAGCGCACTGATTATTTCCGAAAAATATTTCGATAATTTCAACTCTTTCTGCTGTGGAATATACCATGGTTAATTTATGTAATAAAGCGTTACAAGTTATTTTAGCAACAAAATTTTGTCAAATCAATCGCAAACTATGTACTAAATTCCTATTCAAAATAAGTATGAGATATTTCCTTATCTTTCTTCAAGAAATAACTTTTTTGCCACAAAAAAAACGCTCCAATAGCTATTTTCAACAACAAAATTATAAACAAACAACAAGTAAATTCTTTTAGCCAAATTTCTTCTGAAAATAGTACAAACTAATCTGATGTACCTATTAAAGTCTACTTTAAGCTTTAAATCGATAAATCTTCAAAACTACTGAGCTGAGGCTCATGTATTTTATTTACATCATTATAAAGGGAAGTGAAAGACCTTTAAAATAAGGTAACACTCGACCCCCTTTCCATTTAAGATTTTGGGGGTGGTGTCACGCTTAGGGGGCTACACGTGCTATCGTGATTTTTTGCCAAACTTGTGTCCCCCTCGAAAACAAAATCGACGGGTCTGAGCGTTTTTCCAAAAACAAAAAACTGAGCTGCCAGTAAATGTGTCTGTTTCGTTTTCGATGCGCCACCCTGTATATATGTTGGCGTCAAACGCTGAAATCCGTCATTCCCTGAAATGCCTAGTCAGTTCCCGTATTGCCGGCATACACCGCAACAGTTTTATTATTACAACATTTGACTAAGCATTTCAGTTATTCCCTGTAATGACTGAACAATTTCAGTCAAACACCGTAACAACCACATTAACTTCGTTACGGCATTTGCCTGATTCATTATACCAGTTTTGTGTTCATTTGCTTGAGTATACACAACGTCTTTTCTGTTTTGGTAAAAATGTCGTTGCATTCAGAATTGTTTTACAAGAAACTAAGTGAATCCTATAACAGTGTGAATAAGAAAAAACCATGAAATACAAATAAGTTACAGGAGATGAGTTAATTTTTATAATTTTGTAAACCTAACCTAAATTATAAGGTACATAGGCTTGCTCAACTGCAGCATCCGTTGCTGGATTTCGTATATGCAGGGTGGCGCATCGAAAACGAAACAGACGCATTTACTGGCAGCTCAGTTTTTTTTTTGGAAAAACGCTCAGAAACGTCGATTTTTTGTTCGACGGGGACACAAGTTTGGCAAAAAATCACGTTAACACGTGTAGCCCCCTGGACAGGGGTGACACCAACCCTAAAATCTTAAATGGAAAGGGGGGTCGAGTGATACCTTATTTTAAAGGTCTTTCAATTTCCTTTATAATGATATAAAATTAATGTACTTCAGTTCAGTAGTTTTGAAGATTTATTGATTTAAAGCTTAAAGTAGACTTTAATACGTACATCAGATTAGTTTGTACTACTTTCAGAAGAAATTTGACTAAAAGAATTTACTTAATAAGTAAATGCTTTTCTTCACTACGCCCATGGTTTGTTTATCATTTTGTTGTTGAAAATAGCTATTGGAGCGTTTTTTTTTGTGGCAAAAAAGTTATTTCTTGAAGAAAGATAAGGAAATGTCTCGTACTTATTTCTAAATACGAATTTAGTACATAGTTTGCGATTGATTGGACCAAACTTTGTTGCTAAAATATCTTGTAACGCTTTATTACATAAATTAATCATGGTATATTCCACAGCATAAAGAGTTGAAATTATCGAAATATTTTTCGGAAATAATCAGTGCGCTAATAGAACAGCAGAAATATTTAATGAGCGACATGAGAACAGTAACGTGCATCGAAAATATGTTCTAGAACTTGTAGCTAAATTTCGAGAAACTGGGCAGTCGCCAATAAAAAACGCAACATTGACAACCCCATAAGGAACGAAGCAATAGAAGTGGGGGTTTTAGGGCAAGTTTATGTAGATCCTACGTTAAGTACCCGCAAATTGGAGATTGTGTGTGGTGTTAGTCGACGTACTGTCCAACGGATTCTAAAGGCCCATAGTTTTCATCCGTATAAAATTCACCTGGTACAAGAACTAAATGAAGACGACTTTGATCGGCGATTACTATTTTGTGAAAATATTAGTGAACGAATTATAAACGATGAAAATTTTCTATTCAACACTTGCTTTTCCGACGAATGTTCCTTTTTCTTAAATGGCGTAGTAAATCGTCATAACTGCCGATATTGGTCCGATTCTAATCCAAGAATTTATCATGAGATTCATACACAGCAGCCACAAAAATTAAATATTTGGGCTGGTATTTTGGCGATCATTTAGTTGGTCCTTTTTTCTTACCTGGAAATTTGACCGGTGAAATGTATTTCTAATTACTGGAAGATGCCATAGATCCTGCATTAACAGCCATAATTGAAAATCAGAATGATCAGCGGTACATTGCGAATAGGTTGATGTTCCAACAGGATGGTGCCCCACGACATTACGCATTACGTGTTCGACAACATTTAGATCAGACGTTTCCAGATCGATGGATTGGTAGAAGAGGTGCCACTGAATGGCCCCCAAGATCGCCAGATTTTCAAGAAATAACTTTTTTGCCACAAAAACACGCTCCAATAGCTATTTTCAACAACAAAATGATAAACAAACCATGGGCGTAGTGAAGAAAAGCATTTACTTATTAAGTAAATTCTTTTAGTCAAATTTCTTCTGAAAGTAGTACAAACTAATCTGATGTACCGATTAAAGTCTACTTTAAGCTTTAAATCAATAAATCTTCAAAACTACTGAACTGAAGTACATTAATTTTATATCATTATAAAGGGAATTGAAAGACCTTTAAAATAAGGTATCACTCGACCCCCCTTTCCATTTAAGATTTTGGGGGTGGTGTCACCCCCGCTTAGGGGGCTGCACGTGCTAACGTGATTTTTTGCCAAACTTGTGTCCCCCTCGAAAACAAAATCGACGGGTCTGAGCGTTTTACAAAAAAAAACTGAGCTGCCAGTAAATGCGCCTGTTTCGTTTTCGATGCGCCACCCTGTATAGTAAAGACTTGATTAAAAAGCAATAATGTAATAACAAAGACAACGTTTTAATATATTCTGCTTTCTTTTTAGATTAATTCATGCTTGATTATTTTTCTTTTAATATTAATGATAAAGTAGTACCTTGTTATATTATGTACTTCATTGGAGCAACATTGTATTGATTACAGTGTTTGACTAAAATACGCGAATGCAGTAACGAAGTTTATGTGGTTGTTACGGTGGTTGACTGAAATTGTTCAGTCATTACAGGGAATGACTGAGACGCTTAGTCAAACGTTGTAATAATCAAACTTACGGTGTTTGCCGGATCATTATGAAAATCGATGATCTGGATTACAAAATTACGGCGAAAATATTCTGGTAGAGTCGTCAGAATGCTACTTTTTAAAGATAAGTTTTGACATGGTCTGCGTCATGCCAGAGAGCCATTCGTTTTGGCTGGTCCAAGTCCAGGTCACCGAGGAGGAGAAAGTTTGGTTGTTTATTATTTCACAAATCAAGTTTGACAGACATCTTACAAGACATCGACCATATGTTCATTACTTCAAACACACCTTCTCATTGGTTGAATTTGTGACCGGCTTAGTAAAATCGGCCATAAGACCCACTTTGATCAAAAAATTTCATTGTCGAACTCATCGGTACCTTCAAATATCACATAGGTCTTTTTTGTTCGTATTCATCATATTCATCTCTTTCTTAATTCACCCATCATACTTTGGTGTTCGCACGTTAGCATGTATTTTTGTTGTTTCACGTTGTTCCCTGAAAGATGTTCAAGAAGAAGAAACTGAAGATGAAGTCGGACGTACCCGTTATTCACCTCTTTCTAATCTAAATCGCAATAGACATTCTTCTAGTAAGTCATTTTTGATTAAATATATTTTTAGAGCTACGATTGATGTTGTTTTCTTCATTTTCTCTACGCTTGTTGTTTTGGAATATGATATCGAGCTTAGTATCTGATGGTGATAGTAATAACTGACTTTTGTGAAATCTCAGGCGTTAAAAAGAATTTTTTCATGAAGTAATTTTATGCATAATTGAAGGTCTTTGGAAAAATCGAAAAAAGGCATTAAGGTGAAAATGTGAATTCATTGTCCGTTTTGAGGTAATTACTGTTGGAGACATTGATTTTCAGGTGTTTTTAGTCCATTACACTGGTCAACAAAATTTTAACTTTGTCGTGCCACACGGACTTTTTTGATATTTTTTACTTTAATTGGTGATTGTAAGAAAAAAATAAACAGTTAAAAAAAATTTGCTAGACAAGGATTTTATTCTATTGAGTAATTTAAAATATTAAGAAAAAACAAAGATCTCGTAAATCAAAAATAATTTTTTTTTATAAATGACTCAATAATCTAAGATTTTCTTGAATATTTAGCTTCTGGTTGGTCCCTTTTAATTGTCCAGCAGTAATCTGCTAACATATTTGGGCTCCGTTTGCCCTGGTACCGCTTTTCCATATTAGAAATGTCCTGATGGAACCTCTCACCGTGCTTGTCGCTGACAGCCCTTAAATTGTCAGGAAAAAAATCCAGGTGCGAGTCTAAAAAATGGATCTTAAGTGACATGTTGCAACCCAATGCTTGATATGACAATAATAGCTCGCTAACCAACTCTCTGTAGCTGTCACTCTTGTGGTTACCCAAAAAATTTGAAACAACATTTTTAAAAGCCTTCCATGCAGATGTTTCTAAATCGTTTAATTTTTCTTCAAATCTTGAATCTTTTATTAACTTTCTAATTTGAGGGCCAACAAAAATACCCTCTTTTATCTTTGCATCACGTATTTTAGGGAATTTTTCTTTTAGATACAAAAATCCACTCCCATTGCGATCCATTGCCTTCACAAAATTTTTTATCAATCCTAATTTGATATGCAATGGTGGTAGAAGCACATTATTTGACTGTACAAGGGGTAAATACTTTACGTTTTTTTGCCTAGGAACTAACGATGCACGCGTAGGCCATGTTTTTTTTATATAGTGATTAGTTCTGTCTCGGCTATCCGATTCACATAAAAAGCAGCAAAACTTTGTATAACCCAGCTGAAGTCCAAGTAATAGTGCAACAACTTTAAGATCACCGCAGATTTTGGAGGAATATGTACTGTAATTTATTTTTTCAAGTAAAAGTTTCATATTTTCATAGGTTTCTTTCATATTTGCAGCATGGCCCAGAGGTACAGACGGAAGCTTATTTCCATTATGCAATAACACTGCTTTTAGACTTGCTTCGAAGAATCAACGAATAAACGACACTGAGAGAGATCAAAATCTATGTCCAACATTTTCATAATCTCATTTATGTTATTGCAAAACACCAAATCTCCATCCTGAGAAAAATACGTTCTGAAGTGTTGATCACGGTTTCGAAAATAGCTAACTTTTGTATTATGATGTAGCAAATTCCATTCTTTTAGACGTGATCCTAATAGTTCTGACTGCTTTTTTGACAAATTTAAATCCCGAACCAAATCATCTCGGTCTCATTGAGTTATCAAATGTGGCTCGTTTACAATTCCTTTTAACTCAAAGTCATCGTCCTCGTCAACACATTCACCTGAAGTGGACGGTTGTGAATTGTTCTCAACAGACGTGGCAATTTTTTACAATGAGAGACTGGTCTTATAGCCGAAGATAAGTTAGGGTAAATAACTGAGGTTTTTTTCTTGTAATTTATACCTTTTATGTCTGTGAGACAAAAATAGCAATCTGAAACGCGATCTCGCTGTTCAGTCCATATCATGGGTACAGCAAACGGCATAGGTCGTGCACCTTTCTTCCAGTCAGTTAAATTTTTCACACACGTTATGCAACAGACATGAGGGGCCCAGGATTTGTCTTGATGGGCGACAGAAAAACCAAAACATTGGTGGTAACACTCCAACACAAGATTCGTAAAATTTCGTCGTTGTTTTTTGAATGTTAGTTCTCCGCAGACATAACAAAAAGAGTTAGGATCATTATTACACTTCCTCGACATATTCACAGGGTTAATAAATCACAAAAAAGTGTTCAAATTCAACAACAAATATTTTTATAAGGATTTACTTGTAAGCGTTTCTGTTAATTTACTGCCGTAGTACTAGTTATGAGTATTACCGTATCACAACAAATATGAGGCTAATAGACATATGACAGCTGTCATGTAATAATGACTGATAAAACAAAATTAGCTGTCAAAGTTCGTGTGGCAAAACCAGTGTTGACCAGTGTTATCGGACATGATTAGAACAAGTGTTTGGGAAAATTTTGTCAACACTTTCCAAAGCGAATAATAATGTTTCCCAAGCCATTGAAATTATTTTGGAAAGTAATTTTTGTTAGTTGTCAAGTCGCAAAGTCCATATTGAGATCAGTACACAATATGTCCGAAATACTCCCAGATATTGGCTTTTATCAAATATCTCAAAAGCTACTGGGCTAATTTAAACAAAAATTATTATAGGTTCAATTTGAATATCGATCATATTGTCCAGATCCCACATCTTTGTTTCGAGTGCCTCTTGAACGTGACGGATGCAATCTTTCCAATGGTTTGCCGTCACTCTGTTGACAGCTTCATAAAACAAAATTTTCACGTCAGAAGATTTGAATGTTCTACTGTTTTAAGCTACATTATATACTAAGTGACATATAAATCCGAACACCCAGTTTAAATGGTTTTATTTTAATAAAATTTGGTATAAGTACTTAATGAAGCATAATAAGTAAATGATAAAAAGTTCAAAATGATTGCACTGCTTTAAAGCCCTTTGACCTTTAATAATGTGTGGATGCACCCTGATGTGCTACGCATTCTCCAACGCGCCTAGGCATGCTTCTGATCAGGTGGTCAATGTCCTCCTGTGGTATCTCATTCCAGGCAACCACCAACTCCTCTCGAAGTGCTTCTAGAGTCTGATTAGGACGTTGCAAATTGAGCAATCTCCTACCCATCATATCCCACACGTGCTCAATTGGGGATAAGTCGGGAGATCTTGGTGGCCATGGTAACAATGTGACATCATTATGTTGAAAGAAGTCTATTGTGACTCTTGCAACATGTGGTCGGGCATTATCTTGTTGGAAAGTTGGATCTGCCAGGGTGCCAAGATAGGGTAAAAGATGGGGTTCTAGAACTTCGTGGATATAACGCTGCGCCTTCATGTTACCTCTGATGAAGATTAAAGGCGACCTGTAACCATAAGCTATAGCACCCCAAACCATAACTCCAACAGTGTGATGAACATGTTTTTCAACAAAAAACTGTGGATTCCTCCTTTCACCACGTCGCCTTCTAACCCTGGCACGACCATCGTGCATGCCTAAACAAAATCGAGACTCGTCACTAAAGAGAATACTGTTCCATTCCTGATCCCAGAGTGACCGTTGTCTGCACCACTCAAGGCGATTACGTCGGTGTTCTCGAGTTAAAGGGAGGACCCAGTGTGGCCGGTATGAAAACAAGCCAAAACTTCTCGTTCGTCGGAAAACACTTCGCATGCTAATAGGTCTTCCGTGTTCTGCAAACCATTCATTTGCAATGGACCTGGTAGTGGAGAAACGGTCCCTTAAGGCCAATAATCTTAGGCGGCGATCTTCACGGTCTGTTGTTCTACGGCGGCGTCCAGTGCCCCTTGCTCTTTGCGTACGGCCTTCTCGAAGCCATGCCTGACAACACCTAACCACAGTGTCTACACTTCTTTGCACTCTAACTGCAATTGCCCGAAAAGAAAGTCCAGCTTCCCGAATTTCCACTATACGGCCCCTATCAAACTCACTAAGTTGACGAAATCGTACAGGTCTCCGTACTCTAGGCATCGTAACCGATCGTAAAGGATGTCAAGAACCAAAATCCGACAACGTTGATTCTTTACTGCGGCTGAAATATTCATTTTTAGAGCGTTAGTGAATTCCAAATCTAACGGATATAGCTAAGTTTGGTGTAGCTAAGTTTTTAGCGTGGCCTCATAGATTCAGTTTACTTGTCATACACATTTTTGGTTAGTCCACCTATGAAGGCTTGTCTTGCTGATTTAATTGTAGAGTCAGCCCATACTTTAGTTTTTGTATTTGTTATAAAAAATAAATTTGCTAAGTGCCTGGTAATTATGCACAGTACCTACATCTTGAAATAAATATTGCCGCAATATCATGTTATTTTATTAGGAAAAACTTTGTCAGGAGCATAATGCTCACCTCTCTGATTTTGGCCCATATGTATAGAGATTTCGAACTGAAGTTGCTGGTTTTATCATGTACCTATGGAAATAAATAATAAAATACTCTTGAGTTAACTTGAGGCGTTTACTAGACTAGAAGTCCTTAGATGACTTGAAGTAAATTGAAATCGCTCTATCCTAGATAATGAAAGATAAAGCTTCAACGATATAAGGAAAAACTCGAGGAAATTTCTGTGAAAACCACTGTAGGCAGTTATTACTATCATATTGATACTTTTGCTCAGACCAAGTCTTGTTAATCTTCCTATAAGCATACCAATTTTCCATTTGCTATTATAAAATGTATCACATTTGTAAATGACTGACTTGATGTGTGCTTCGGTGCATAGTACAAATATTTTATGTGAAAACTGGTTTAGTAACGTCAAAATTAGTAGGCGTACAACTATTATTATCAGGTTGAAAACTGATTGTGCGTCATTTGGATTATTGGGGTATTTTCCAATTGCCTTTTATATCTTCTATTGACCTCCATTTCAAATGTTATAGAAAGTAACTGGTGTGAAGTTGGCAGACAAAATTTAGCGGACAATTTGCCGAAGATACCCGAATGACCAGTGGCGTCGACAACCTCGACCAGACTGTGATTGTGAAGGATACAGCTAACAGCTCGCAACAATAAATATATATGCACGAGAATAAGCACCCCTATAGGAAGAATCATTTTCCACCCCAATTAAATAAATCGCAGGAACAAGACTTAACCCAAAACCTTTCTTCGAATTTTCACTTAAAGATTATTGTATATATGGTATTGAAAGAAATTAATGAGCTAAATAGCATATACTGCGAAAATCTCTAAAAGGGTGGTAGATAAAAAAATATAAATAAAACTTCACCGCCAAAAAAATGATTCCTCAAAATGGTTTATACTCTATTACAGAGACAATTCATGGGCTAGGTGGTATGGTGTGAGAAAGCTTCTGAAAGACTGGCAGATAAATAAATATGTTTATAAATTCATTTTCACCCCCAAGGAAATGATTCCCCAAAATCAGTTGTACCTCAAAAAAATACTCTATTATAGAGACAATTTATAGGCTAGGTGGCATGGTGTGAGAAAGCTTCTGAAAGACTGGCAGATAAAAAATATGTTTATAAATTCATTTTCACCCCCAAGGAAATGATTCCCCAAAATCAGTTGTACCTCAAAAAATACTCTATTATAGAGACAATTTATAGGCTAGGTGGCATGGTGTGAGAAAGCTTCTGAAAGGCTGGCAGATAAAAAAATATGTTTATAAATTCATTTTCACCCCCAAGGAAATGATTCCCCAAAATCAGTTGTACCTCAAAAAAATACTCTATTATAGAGACAATTTATCGGCTAGATGGCATGTTGTGTGAAAGCTTCTGAAAGGGTTGCAGATAAAAAAATATGTTTATAAATTCATTTTCACCCCCAAGGAAATGATTCCCCAAAATCAGTTGTACCTCAAAAAAATACTCTATTATAGAGATAATTTATAGGCTAGGTGGCATGGTGTGGGAAAGCTTCTGAAAGGCTGGCAGATAAAAAAATATGTTTATAAATTCATTTTCACCCCCAAGGAAATGATTCCCCAAAATCAGTTGCACCTCAAAAAAATACTCTATTATAGAGACAATTAATGGGCTAGGTGGCATGTTGTGTGAAAGCTTCTGAAAGGGTGGCAGATAAAAAAAATATTTATAAATTCTTTTTGACCCCCAAGGAAATGATTCCCCAAAATCAGTTGTACCTCAAAAAATACTCTATTATAGAGACAATTTATAGGCTAGATGGCATGGTATTAGAAAGCTTCTGAAAGGCTGGCAGATAAAAAAATATGTTTATAAATTCATTTTCACCCCCAAGGAAATGATTCCCCAAAATCAGTTGTACCTCAAAAAAATACTCTATTATAGAGACAATTTATAGACTAGATGACATGGTGTGAGAAAGCTTCTGAAAGGCTGGCAGATAAAAACATGTTTATAAATTCATTTTCACCCCCAAGGAAATAATTCCCCAAAATCAGTTGTACCTTAAAAAAATACTCTATTATAGAGACAATTTATCCGCTAGGTGGCATGTTGTGTGAAAGCTTCTGAAAGGGTGGCAGATAAAAAAATATTTATAAATTCTTTTTGACTCCCAAGGAAATGATTCCCCAAAATCAGTTGTACCTCAAAAAAATACTCTATTATAGAGACAATTTATAGGCTAGATGGCATGGTATTAGAAAGCTTCTGAAAGGCTGACAGATAAAAAAATATGTTTATAAATTCATTTTCACCCCCAAGGAAATGATTCCCCAAAATCAGTTGTACCTCAAAAAAAATACTCTATTATAGAGAAAATTTATATGCTAGGTGGCATGGTGTGAGAAAGCTTCTGAAAGACTGGCAGATAAAAAAATTTGTTCATAAATGTATTTTCACCCCCAAGGAAATGATTCCCCAAAATCAGTTGTACCTCAAAAAAAACTCTATTATAGAGACAATTTATATGCTAGGTGGCATGGTGTGAGAAAGCTTCTGAAAGACTGGCAGATAAAAAAATTTGTTCATAAATGTATTTTCACCCCCAAGGAAATGATTCCCCAAAATCAGTTGTACCTCAAAAAAATACTCTATTATAGAGACAATTTATAGGCTAGGTGGCATGGTGTGAGAAATCTTCTGAAAGGCTGGCTGATAAAAAATCTGTTTATAAATTCATTTTCACCCCCAAGGAAATGATTTCCCAAAATCAGTTGTACCTCAAAAAAATACTCTATTATAGAGACAATTTATAGGATAGGTGGCATGGTGTGAGAAAGCTTCTGAAAGGCTGGCAGATAAAAAATCTGTTTATAAATTCATTTTCACCCCCAAGGAAATGATTCCCCAAAATCAGTTGCACCTCAAAAAAATACTCTATTATAGAGACAATTTATCAGCTAGGTGGCATGTTGTGTGAAAGCTTCTGAAAGGCTGACAGATAAAAAAATATGTTAATAAATTCATTTTCACCCCCAAGAAAATGATTCCCCAAAATCAGTTGTACCTCAAAAAATACTCTATTATAGAGATAACTTATAGGCTAGGTGACATGGTGTGAGAAAGCTTCCGAAAGGCTGGCAGATAAAAATATATGTTTATAAATTCATTTTCACCCCAAGGAAATGAGCTGTTAGCTGTATCCTTCACAATCACAGTCTGGTCGAGGATGTCGACGCCACTGGTCATTCGGGTATCTTCGGCAAATTGTCTGCTAAGTTTTGTCTGCCAACTTCACACCGGTTAGAAAGTAATACTGCACATCATAGACTTTAATTACTTGTAATGGCCGAAGAGTTGAGTGTCACTATGTCGTTAAGTTTGTAATATGAAAACCGCATATTACGAGAGGGAGACGAAAAGTTTGGTGTAGATGCGAATCGAACTCACAACTCTGATAATTGTGTCTACAAAATTTTGTACATCGTAAAGTGAAAGACCATCGATTTCCCGTTACCTAGCCTGTAATATATGATTTTGTTGCCTGTGTTATGCTGGTTTTTTCAAAATATGTAGTAAAATTGGTATGCTGTCCTTCAAAAAACTGCACTGCACTATCTCTTTGGTAAGACTTGTGTTATATTCTAAATTTTTGCTTGATTTTTGTATGTGAATAACTTCACCTTTAGACGTGTTACTCAAAATCGCATCGAAATAAAATCAAAAATGGTCAACTCATGAACTATGAACGATTATCCATTAGTCTCCACTGATTTGGCGAGACTGCTATTGAAGTTCTTGTAAATTAATAGTACCTTGCATACCTAGATTCAGGAGTGAGTTTTAAATATCATCCTTTTGGTAGAGGTGCCTCCCGTGACGAGAAGTATCACTGTTTCACCTCTTTCTTCAGTTATCTCAGAATCTAAAGTTTACTCGTCAAACATGAGCGATACATTTTATTTTGTTTCTATGCGACCATAGCATTTTGTGCTTTGCACTGTGCATGTAATTTTGTTTGTTGCTTTTGTTATGCTTGTTTCATGCACTTGCAGTTGGTAGCACCGCTTCATCCATAGATGCCTTGTGGGAAACCCATCCGAGACGTCTGAGCGAAGCAGGGCTCAGTCGTCATTCAGGTAATATAAACAAATTCATGCATATGTTCACACTTACAGGGTGTCCCAGAAGTCGACGTCAAGCCGAAACCGGGTGATAGGCAAAGTCATTACAGCTATCAGAAAAATATTTAAAAAAATTTTATGTATGTGTTTTGAAAATTATAGGTCTTTGAAAAAAATATAGAAATTTCACACCCTACGGCAGTCTGTCAACTCCTGTTACTACAAATATTAACTTTTTTTGGATTTTATTTTTACAATGTAATGATGAATAGTGCATCTTCAAACTGGTGTCTCAACCTTACTGCCAACTTTTCTCGTTCAGGAAAAATTGACACTTATTTCCCAACCAAGTATGTATTCCAAAGTAAAACTTTGCTCAACTTTAACTGGCTGTACTGGATAAAAATGTACTACGAGAGTTTGGCAAGTAACCTTAAAAGTTGGCGCATTTAATAACGATTCCAAAATGGTATAACACTTAAAGATTACTCGTTAACTTATGCACAATTTTTATTTGAAGAAAAACTGATGAAAATTTTTCAAAATTTCCTAATTAAACAGCGATTATGAAAACGCACAAGGACCCTTAAGGATAACTGTTTGCCCAACAGTGGGCGTCAAAATGCTGCTGATGATGATTTACCTTTACAGCAAATGCTCAAACTGTTTTCCTTCAGCCGCAATACACGCTCGACATCTTCTTAAAAAAGATCGGGTTATTAAACGAGCGAATCCACGGTTATTAACAAACTCAGCTGCTTCCAATAGTCTTTGCCGTAGCTCAGCTACATTTTGAATCGGCTTGAAATACACTTTTTCTTTTACAGTTCCCCAGTAAAAAGATCTAAAGGATTCAAATCAGGTGATCGGGCTGGCCACGGTATTGTACCAGACCACCCTATCCATCTGCCTGGAAAGTTTTGATCGAGATACTCTCTCACTGAGAGTGCATAGTGCGCTGGGCAGCCATCATGCTGAAAACACATGTCCCTGTAAATACTCAGTGGCACGTCCTCCAATAAATTTTCTAAATATTTTGCAAAAAAGACGGACCGATTATTTTACCATTTAAAATTCCTGTCCAGTGGTTTATCTTGAAGCGATATTGAGATTTATCTTCTCTCATCAAATGTGGGTTTGCCACGTGCCACTCGTGTAAGTTATGCAGGTTCATGTACCCATCTTTCTTAGATGTGGTCTAATCTGACCATAAAATTTTTTCAAAGAACCGTGGATCTTCCCTGTGTCTTTCTAACATTGTGCGACAAAAAGCATCTCGAGGCTCATAATCCCGGGGCAGAAGAGCTTGAACACGCTGTACGTGGTATGGATGGAGCACGTTTTTTTGCAAGATTCTATGGGCTGTACTTTTGGGCACACCTGTTTTTAGTTCTATTGCACGCACTGAAGTACTCGGGTCTTCTTCGACAGCTTCTAGCACCACGTCTTGATAAGGAAGGAAAGATGTTCCGTCACCGTGTGATTGGTTTGGTAGTTGGCCCTCTGAAAACAGTAAGCGGTGCACATTTGTGAACACTTGATGATCTGGATGACGAGCTGCATTCGGGTACCTCTCACAGTAAAGTCTCGCTGCAGCACTAGCGTTGCATCTACATTCCCTATAAATGAGGTGCATGTTAGCATATTCTTGTACGGTGTACACGGACATAGCGGCACTGCACAATCACACTATCAAAGATAGTCTAAGGAAAGCAAATGTTGTTTTGAAGATCAATTAAACAGTCCAAATCCAAATCACAAGCGATCAACAGTCCAGTTCACGAATCCAAAATTAGTAACAGTACGAAATCAACAAGCACGAACATGTAAAGATGCGCAGTATACGAAGGAGTACTGATAGGTATCAAAGTGTGCAATAGCAAGTAAGTGATGTGCTTCATTCATGCCACATACAGCGTGTGCAACCTCTCCTGCCCCGGGATTATGAGCCCCGAGTTGCTTTTTGTCGCACAATGTTAGAAAGACACAGGAAAGATCCACAGTTCTTTGAAAAAATTTTATGGTCGGATGAGACCACATTTAAGAAAGATGGGTACATGAACCTGCATAACTTACACGAGTGGCACGTAGCAAACCCACATTTGATGAGAGAAGATAAATCTCAATATCGCTTCAAGATAAACCATTGGACAGGAATTTTAAATGGTAAAATAATCGGTCCGTTTGAGTTCCCAGAGACTTTGACTGCTGAAGTTTATTTGGATTTTTTGAAAAATCATGTACAAAATTTATTGGTGGACGTGCCACTGAGTATTTACAAGGACATGTGGTTTCAGCATGATGGCTGCCCAGCGCACTATGCACTCTCAGTAAGAGAGTATCTCGATCAAAACTTTCCAGGCAGATGGATAAGGCGGTCTGGTACAATACCGTGGCCAGCCCGATCACCTGATTTGAATCCTTTAGATTTTTTTACTGCGGAACTCTAAAAGAAAAAGTGTATTTCAAGCCGATTCAAAATGTAGCTGAGCTACGGCAAAGACTATTGGAAGCAGCTGAGTTTGTTAATAACCGTGGATTCGCTCGTTTAATAACCCGATCTTTTTTAAGATGTCGAGCGTGTATTGCGGCTGAAGGAAAACAGTTTGAGCATTTGCTGTAAAGGTAAATCATCATCAGCAGCATTTTGACGCTCACTGTTGTGCAAACAGTTATCCTTAAGGGTCCTTGTGCGTTTTCATAATCGCTGTTTAATTAGGAAATTTTGAAAAATTTTCATCAGTTTTTCTTCAAATAAAAATTGTGCATAAGTTAACGAGTAATCTTCTAAGTGTTATACCATTTTGGAATCGTTAATAAATGCGCCAACTTTTAAGGTTACTTGCCAAACTCTCGTAGTACATTTTTTTCTAGTACAGCCAGTTAAAGTTGAGCAAAGTTTTACTTTGGAATACTTGGTTGGGAAATAAGTGGCAATTTTTCCTGAACGAGAAAAGTTGGCAGTAAGGTTGAGACACCAGTTTGAAGATGCATTATTCATCATTACATTGTAAAAATAAAATCCAAAAAAAGTTAATATTTGTAGTAACAGGAGTTGACAGACTGCCGTAGGGTGTGAATTTTCAAAACACATACATAAAATTTTTTTAAATATTTTTCTGATAGCTGTTATGACTTTGCCTATCACCCGGTTTCGGCTTGACGTCGACTTCTGGGATATACAGCTTCTACACTATATTGAGTGATTTATGTTATTGTCTTTGGTCGAAGAGCCCGCTGTAAAAATTCACTGATCGACGGATAGTAACAGGTTGGCAAATAGTAATAGTTACGTTTATTGTCACAAAGTACAGGTAAATCCCAAGTATCGTGCACAACAAACATAAGGTACATGAAAAATTCGGGTTGTGTTTTGGTTTTGTAAAACCAAAAGTACGATTAATGATTGAACAAGTCGTGACCAAAAATGAAACATCATACACAGGACCGCATTCTATGTAACATTTTCTCCTCGAAGGTTTCATTAAAAAATTACGAGGGGATTAGTGGCATTATTTTTCCAAATATAAATTGAACGTCACTGTTTTTTTTTTTCGAGTTTTACCTTCAATGTGCTACAAATAATTACTCTTGTGTTTTTCCCTAGAGTGCATTGTTTCCGTAAAAAATAAAAAAATAAACAAATTAGATAATCAAAGCTTTATTTATATATTTTTAATAAAGAAAACTTATTTAAGCAAAATTTGTTGTGGCTTGAATTTTCTAACGACCAATTACGTTCATTATGAGAATGAGAAATTTGACTTGACTTAAAAAAAATGGTAGTAGTAACGATAACAACCGTATAACTCAAAACTTTGACAAACTATATCCCAAGAAACGTCAAGTTGATTGTATCTCGGATATTCATGAAAGAACTAATTTGTTTTATTTTTATTTTTACGAAAACAGTGCACTCTAGGAAAAACCACGAGTAATTATGTGTAGCCAATTGAATGTATCATTGGAAAAAACAGTGGCATACTATACTGACATATAAATCCGAACACCCAGTTTAAATGATTTTATTTTAATAAAATTTTGTATAAGTACTCAATGAAGCATAATAAGTAAATGATAAAAATTTCAAAATGATTACACTGCCTTAAAGCCCTTTGACCTTTAATAATGTGTGGATGCACCCTGATACTACGCATTCTCCAACGCGCCTAGGCATGCTTCTGATCAGGTGGTCAATGTCCTCCTGTGGTATCTCATTCCAGGCAACCACCAACTCCTCTCGAAGTGCTTCTAGAGTCTGAGGAGGACGTTGCAAATTGAGCAATCTCCTACCCATCATATCCCACACGTGCTCAATTGGGGATAAGTCGGGAGATCTTGGTGGCCATGGTAACAATGTGACATCATTATGTTGAAAGAAGTCTATTGTGACTCTTGCAACATGTGGTCGGGCATTATCTTGTTGGAAAGTTGGTTCTGCCAGGGTGTCAAGATAGGGTAAAAGATGGGGTTCTAGAACTTCGTGGATATAACGCTGCGCGTTCATGTTACCTCTGATGAAGATTAAAGGTGACCTGGAACCATAAGCTATAGCACCCTAAACCATAACTCCAACAGTGTGATGAACATGGCTTTCAACAAAAAACTGTGGATTCCTCCTTTCACCACGTCGCCTTCTAACCCTGGCACGACCATCGTACATGCCTAAACAAAATCGAGACTCGTCACTAAAGACAATACTGTTCCATTCCTGATCCCAGAGTGACCGTTGTCTGCACCACTCAAGGCGATTACGTCGGTGTTCTCGAGTTAAAGGGAGGACCCAGTGTGGCCGTTATGAAAACAAGCCAAAACTTCTCATTCGTCGGTAAACACTTCGCATGCCGATAGGTCTTCCGTGTTCTGCAAACCATTCATTTGCAATGGACCTGGTAGTGGAGAAACGGTCCCTTAAGGCCAATAATCTTAGGCGGCGATCTTCACGGTCTGTTGTTCTACGGCGGCGTCCAGTGCCCCTTGCTCTTTGCGTACGGCCTTCTCGAAGCCATGCCTGACAACACCTAACCACAGTGTCTACACTTCTTTGCACTCTAACTGCAATTGCCCGAAAAGAAAGTCCAGCTTCCCGAAGTTCCACTATACGGCCCCTATCAAACTCACTAAGTTGACGAAATCGTACAGGTCTCCGTACTCTAGGCATCGTAACCGATCGTAAAGGATGTCAAGAACCAAAATCCGCCAACGTTGATTCTTTACCGCGGCTGAAATATTCATTTTTAGAGCGTTAGTGAATTAAAAAAAAGCAGTATAAAAACCGGAATGTCCAACTGATAAGGCTGAAAATTTTTTCACTTGTTATTTACAGTAAGATAAATACATTCACCAACTTTTATTAAAATAAAACCATTTAAACTGGGTGTTCGGATTTATATGTCACTTAGTATATTTCGAATGTTTACTATAATGTACTTAACCAGTATAACAATAAATTTCAAGCTAATAGTCGAGCATCCATATAGAGAGAACCTCCTAAGGGGGATCAACTGTAGAATTATTCTTTGGATGACATCAATCCTTTTTTGTAATAATTATAACTAGTTTTCTCTTTTTGATTTGTGTAAGTTCTGTTCCATATACAACACCAGTAAATATTTCAATTATATTATTATTAACGTGGGGCTAATAGCAAACCTATTATAATTTGCAAAACGTGGCGATTTGTTAATAAAAATTGTGCGAACGCGTGTTGCGTTTTTCAATGCCTTTGCACAAGAATATCGATATCTTGTGATATCCAGCGGGCTCTTGGTGTAATCCAGTGAATTTTTAAAACATCCACTGAGATGTATCCAATTACCTATTTTCACTCAGCTTCATCGTAGCATTTTCTAGAATACATCAATATGCTGAGAACCACAAAGGGAATCAATCACACAAAGTGAAAATAATCTGTAATATATGTTTTTGAGAAATGTCAGCGATTTGTCGTCAAATATAAAAATTCAAATTTAGATGGATGTGTAGATTCTATATTTTTCTTAGGGCTTTTAAGTGCAATAATAAAGGTAAGTTAATTTCAAACAAATCGTTAGATTCCAGTGCCGTATTGACTGAAGACACCGACAGTTTCATTATCGGAGAACGTGTTTGGGTATCTGGAACGAAGCCCGGACATATAGCTTACATCGGTGAGACACAATTTGCACCTGGAGACTGGGCTGGAATTGCGCTGGATGAACCCATCGGTACGTATACACCTATACCTACAGGGTGTCCAGTGGAAAAGTTCACTTTCTGATTTAAGAAAAAAATGCAAACTTAATGAAAAGAAAATACTTATACTTATACAGGGTGTTTCAGTTTATTGTTGCATAACTTTAAGATTCGATAGAACTTTTAAAATTAATGCATAAAGTCTATATAAACATGGGTCGAAAAATGCGTGGCTTCCGAAATACAGGGTGTTTAAATTTACTTTCTAAAATAGTTTTTTTTAAATATTTCGAACAATATTTGATGTATAACAGTGAAAATTGGTGTACAAGGGACAAAACGGACCATGGGCAGAGTTTTACTGTAGCCGCTAGAGGGCGCTCTCTACTGTACCTGTAGTGTATTAAAATAACCGAAATTTTTTTCTTAGTGCAATTTTTTGCTTTTTGAATAAAAAAACTGATTCTTCGCATTTTTCAACATAAAAAAGCTCTCTTGTGAATTTTCGTTATAGTTAGCCGTTTTTGAGATATTTCGATTTTTAAGGTTCGATGCATTTTTAATTATTTATGATAAAATAACGTTAAAAAGTCAGTATCTCGAAAATTTTTAGAAGTAGGCTGTGCCTGCAAATATTTTTGAAATTGAAAGCAGAATAGGGTTAAGCGTCAATTAGTTGACAGTTAGTTTTGTTGTCTGTTGAAACCTGAAACGTTTTTTTGCAATTGTGAATGCACGAAATTTAGTTTCTTTTACCTGTTTTTTTTTGTAAGTTTTATAAAAATGCCATTTTTATTCTCCAATCAAGAGTTAGCGGATATTCATTTTGTGTATGGCTTTGTAAATGGAAACGCAGCAGAGGCAGCCAGAGAATACGCACGAAGATTTCCAAACAGACGACATCCAACTCGCTCAGTATTTGTAAGAGTGCATCACTACATAATTGAAAATGCTTTTGGAAATCTCCAAAGGGATCAAAACATAAATGTTCGTCAGCGCAGATTTACCCGTATTCTGCGTGAGTTTGATAGAGATCCGACCACAAGTGTTAGGAGAGTTTCTGGTGCCTTGGGAATTTCAGCAAGCCATGTTCACCGTGTTCGTAGAAATGACGATAGACGTCCTTACCATTTGCAATCTGTGCAAGGACTACAGCCAGGGGACGGAGAACGAAGAATCACATTTTGTCAGTAGATTCTTGATAGAACTGATAATAATACTGAGTTTTTAAGTAAGGTTTTATGGACCGATGAGTCATGCTTCACTAGACGTGAAGTGGTAAATTTTCATAATCAACATATTTGGTCGCATGAAAATCCGCATGCAGTTCGGGAAAGAAATTTTCAGCACGAATTTAGTGTGAACGTGTGGATTGGTATCTACCGTAATCGACTATTTGGACCCTACCTTGTGCCTGCAAGGTTAAATGCTGCGACCTTCTTGGAATTTTTAAAGGCTGAACATGCAAATATGTGGGATGATGTTATGTTAGATGTAAGAAGATTGGCCTGGTTCCAGCTTGATGGTTGTCCAGCTCATTATTCGAGAATAGTTAGAAACTGGCTGGACGAAAATTCTCCAGAAAGATGGATCGGCCGTGGAGGACCAGTCGCCTGGCCTCCACGATCCCCTGACCTAAATCCATTAGATTTCTTTGTGTGGGGATTTCTAAAAGAAAAAGTGTACCAGACTCCCGTAACCACGAGAGATATGCTAATAGACAGAATCAGGAATGCATGTGATGAAATAAGGCCTTATTTGAATAATGCTATACCACGTTCGATCATTCGTAGATGTGAATTGTGTATCGAACAATTGGGTTTACATTTCGAGCAACTACTTTAGATTTTGTATGTTTGTCCTAACTATCCAATAGCATTTTAGTTGTAAATAATTAATTTAATATGTTAAAAATAATATTGGAAAATTAAACAAAGTGATATTCTGTTTTTTTTTGTGTTTGTTTGGAGTTAGGAATTATTATATAAAATCACAATCTAAACGATCATCTTAATTACTTGTAATGCCCAAATCGAAAATGTAAAAAAAATATTATTTTCCCATAAATAATTAAAAATGCATCGAACCTTAAAAATCGAAATATCTCAAAAACGGCTAACTAAACGAAAATTCACAAGAGAGCTTTTTTATGTTGAAAAGTGCGAAGAATCAGTTTTTTTATTCAAAAAGCAAAAAATTGCATTAAGAAAATTTTTTCGGTCATTTTAATACACTACAGGTACAGTAGAGAGCGCCCTCTAGCGGCTACAGTAAAACTATGCCCATGGTTCGTTTTGTCGTACCAAAAAACCCTTGTATAGAGTAGAATGGGGTATTATGGCAACTTGTTTTTTATTGGACCATAAATCTGTAATGTCTCCATTCAGCCTTGCAATCGAACTGGCTAGACGGTCCTTAAAGTATGAGGTATGGTTAACTAAGTCAGTTTTTGTGCTGGTTTGACCGTAGTTCCAATAGGAAACAAAATTCTCGAATAATGACAAATTGCCATATTCCCCCAGCATCAGGGTAATATGGCATAGGACATTGGGAAATATGGCAACATGCGATTTGCATAAGGATTCATTTAATTTATGACAAAAAACATAAACAAACATATTTTTTAAGAAATGTTGTTTAACATATCAAAATATAAGTAAACCTAATCAGAATCCAAAGTTAATCTAAAATAAGTTCAAATATGTCAAATAAGAAATAAAAAGAAACTTGAACTAGAATGAAAAACAAACATTCAATTTTTCCATTTCATATCGTTTGCCAGCTGTTGAAGTGGGATACAATCCTTGCAGTATAAGTCAGATCTTGTGCAGATCTCATGGATCCAGTCTGAACACCTCGTGCATTGTATCCAATCGCATTTGGGACCCTTTTTGTCGAAATAATATCCACCGCATTCTGCACAAATTTCAGAACGGTCTACTTCTATTTCTGATTCACCACTTTCCTGTGTAACTACTTCCGTTTCGCTTTCGGACGAACTAGAATCAAATCGGGCTCTTCTACGACTTTTTTCTTTGGCAAGCTTTTTGTTACTTCCTGCCTTTTCTTTAGTATTGCTACTGTGTTTCTCATCCGTTTTTTTCATCCGTTGCTGGGATTTCATCAGTTTCGCAGATCTTTTTTTTTCTTTGCCCTCTTTTTTCTCTCGTTTTGCTGCTACTACCTCTGGTGATGTTAGTACCTCTGCATGCTGTTTTCGCTTCTGGCACTCACTCGTTCCTGGTATGCACGGAACCGCTGAAATAGCTTCAAATGGATTTTGATCTGGATCAGCTGTCTTTGGAGAACGCCCGTTGTTTTGGTTGTTGGCATCAATAATGACATGAGCAGTGGCTTCCCCAATATTTTCATCCGGTGAATTCTCATTTCTAAGAGCAGCATTTGCAGTATTTTTGCAGATAAAAGCATATTCTGGGATTTTGGATTTATCAAAAGGAAAAATACCACATGTCCTAAATCCTGATACTGCATTTTGAACTGAGGCAGCTTTACACCATGCAGTATTGAGGAGTGACGGAAACTGCAATCTGGAGAGTTTGCGACCGGGATTGTTTTGTACCCATTTCTTACATGCTTCATTCCAATAAACCTTAAGAGGCTTGAAGAATGATCTATCTAATGGCTGCAGCCAATGAGTAGTGTGGCTAGGTAGGCACAACAGAATTATGTCATTGGCTGTTGCCAGGTCTAGTATTTCCACATCAGAGCAATGAGAGGAATGACCGTCAAGGACGAGGAGTACTTTGCCTTGTTCTTTACGTGGAATAAAGTGATGAAGAAGCCATGCTTTGAAAATATCCGTAGTTACATACGCCGATTTTTCACTCATTACAACTGTACCACCTGGTGGCAATCCGTCTTCAAATTCTTTTTTCTTGTTTTTTCCCTTCATAATGCAGTAGGGTGGAAGGAAATGACCTTCTGCAATCACGCAGGCTATAACTGACACAGTCTCACCTTTCTCTGCACTTGTTACACAATTTACCATTTTGGAACCTCTGGTAGCAATTACCTTTCCTGGGTTGTTATTTAGCTGAACCCCAGTTTCATCTACATTGAAAATTTTTCTGGGAGCGGATATTAGGTTATTTTCTGTTAAAAGGTTCCCGAGCAGGTCAAAGTAATGATCGCATTCTTCTTTGTTCATACCTTGAGCTCGAGCCGTTGACATTCCCTGAGCTTTTCGAATGGATAAATTTGGATGTCTCTTCATAAAAGAGCAGAACCAGTCATGGCCAGCTTCTTTTTTCTCCGGATTAAAATTATTTTCTATGTTATTACAGATGGCAAAAGAGTACGCAATCTTTTTTACGTCTACAGGTGTTAACGCAAAACCCATCTTCTCCATTTTTTTGATATAATCTACCAAGCTTCGTTCATGTTCTGGACTTAGATAACTCTTACGCCCTAACTTGACCTTGTTTGCGTTTCCTGATTGGATCCTCCTCATTAAGGTCCTAACAGGCACAGCATATGTCCGACTTATTTGCCTTATTGAACCACGACCACATCTAACATCCGAGATTGCATTTATCAGATCTTCTGCCGACCACATGGCCCTCGCATTTTTCTTGGTGTAATTTCGTGGCATCTTCTTTACTCTGAAATTTTAAAATGGTAAATGATACATACTGGGATAATATGCCGCATTTTGGGGTAATATGGCAGTATTATGGCATATTACCCCAAAGCGTATCTTCCAGATTTAGCAAATCATAAACTCATGTCTAGTGAAATCTGGTTATCCTACGTGGCATAAAAAGTTAGGTTATGTACCGCAGATTCCATGGTCCCTACTGGAAATAGCATCAAAATACTTACAACTGCATTCACATCGGCAAAAATCTTATTAAAAAATAATTTGAGCAATGTACTTACCTTGTATTTACGTATTTTTTTCCTAAATACTGTTAAATACTCCTCTTTGAATATTTTCCGCGATGAAAACAGCAAATCAACGTGCACTTGACACCTACCTGGACGCCCCCTCGCGATTTACAACGGAAATATTGAA